GCTGGTGACCGATTCAAAGTAATTTCGGGGAACATATAAAACACTAAAATAACTTAGAAACTAGATCCAAATATTTCAAAAGTAATTGACTTCGATATACAAAAACAGTCAGAGGTGCTTACAAAAGTTTATTTTCTCAGTGCGTCTATGTACCAGCGCAGTTACTGGGTCCAGAGCAAAATAAAAGGCTTCTTTTCTTCTGAAACAGTAATAAAAAACAAGGAAAACATATCTTTGTATATAAAGGATCGATGCTGGTCTTAAGAATAATGTAATCGGAAACCCTTAAATCGAGAGGCACACAATGGGTTTCTGCTTTTAAAAAATAAAAGGAAAGTCACCAGTTTATTTCAATGGAGGAGGTGCTCGCACCACTCAAATAAACTCAATTCCATTTAACATCACTAGCAAAAATCACTTAGAAACTGTACAAAAATAAAAAAGTGAACACATTTAATCCTGCAAGGTTTTTGTAAGGACTGGAAGGCAGGCTTTTAGAGCAGCATTTGGGCATGGCTGGGGGCTTCTTTGGTTTGATCTAACACACGTTAAGAGACGGAGCCCTATTCCAGATGACAGTTTCAAATTTCCTGCACATTTGAAGACATGAAAAGAGGCCAGTATACAAACTTCCGGTGTGCTGGGCGGTGGGACTGTGTGTGCTGCGCTGAAAATCTTACAACTGCTTTACAGGGGGTTGGCGGGGGGTTGTGGGGGGGGGGGAAGAGCGAGCCTTGCACTTCCTCCATCAAATACGCCGACCTCTTGCGGCAGGGGAGACTGAAGCGGGTAGTAGCACATTCTCGTGCAGTCAGAAGGCCACTTAATGGGGGGGAGGGGGCACAATTGTTCTCTTAGAATCTGGTACCTGGCTAACCTTGTTTAAGAACAAGAAAACCTTCCAGAAACGGAAGCCTTTTGCTACATACCAAAAAGTAAAACGCGTTACTGTTTTCCAAGAGGAAAAATACCCAGTTGCATTTAAAAACAAAAAACAGAAATGGAACTAATTAACATTTAAAAGGGGGGGCAGTGTAAACTTTGTGCTACTCAAATGAAGTTCAAGTATTACTTCCGAGCTGTTTAAAGATCGCTGACTTATACAATATTCTGGTGATAAGAGTGCAATTCACATTTGTGTTTCTGAACAAATAAACCACAACTGGCTAAAACAACCTGTGCAATCAGAATCTTCGTCTGAGTTAAAGACACATGCTACATATTTCAACATGTTCGAAGTGAATTCAAACCACAAATTTGACAGCTTTGTAGTATACGACAGAGGTGAAAGGGTCTAGCGTTTGTTTGTTTGAAGCACACCATTACAGTTTGTATAACACCCTTTACAAAGCTACAAAGTCTTTTTAGTCAACAGCTAGAGACAAAAATGCACTGTGCATTAATTTGAAAACAAAAGGAGACAAAACTATCCTTTTCCCCCAAGCCATGGTGGGAAATATTGCTGACCTTGTCCTCTGAAGCCTGCAGGATGGTTATTTCTTCAGTATAACATTATTACACTGGTTTAAGAAAAATCTGTATAACATCTGCATATATCAAGAATTTTAAAAAATCTGATATGATTTTAGAGTCCGCATGACCAGTCACGTGACCTGCTCAAGATTGATTAGCACCGTTAAATACATAAACACACATATGTGTGTATGTATGTGTAAGTATATGTATATACACACACACATATGTATGTCATAGATCTTTTCTTAAAAAAAAAACAACAACACAACAACTTCTAACCATGAGCTCACCCAGGACGAGGAGCCTGCTGAATTGATGAGATGATGGATAGGATGGGTCAATATTGGTCTATTCTGTCTTTTCAGTTTGCTTGTTTTATTTACCCCCCCCTTTTTTTTTTTTTTTTTTTTT